GCGCCAAAAGCTCGTGGACGCTGCCCGCTGAATCCTTTCGTATTGGATTTATGCCTAGGTATGCAAACCAGTTAGGTTTTCCTTGGGTCTAATGAAAATTCAAGAAAAACATGTGTTGACAAAGTCTATCCCCCAATATGGGTGAAGGATTCCAATTAGTAGCATGCTGCCATATTGGACCACAAAGCAGCCAGAGTGCACCAAAGGATCAATATTAGACCACAGACATTAGGAGGCACGAGTTTTCCAGGCGTGGCCTCCGGGCCTTGGGTAGCTTTTGCGCGCTCGAACCGCGCCAAAAGCTCGTGGACGCTGCCCGCTGAATCCTTCCGAATGGAATTTATGCCCAGGTATGCAAACCAGTTACGCTTGACTCCCAGAAATTGGTTTGATACCCCAACGCCGGCAATTTGTTTGCATTAAAATTTAAAGAAAATGTAGTAGCCCAAGCAAACAGTAAGGCGCGACCTGGTCTACAGGCCTTCCTCGCACAGGAGCCTCTTCTAAGGGCTCTCGTAGCGCAGAATCCTCTCCTGCGCTCGGGCCGTTGCTCGGGGCGCCTCTCATTGGCCCTCGTAGCACAGAATCTTCATCGAAAGGGCACCGTAGCACAGATTCCTCTTCTACAGGCCTTTCGTAGCACGGGATCCTCTTCTGATGGCCCTCGTAGCACAGAATTGCTTTTAAGGGACGCTCGGAGCACCTGTAGCACAGGAGCCTCCCGGGTGCCCCGCAGGCTTTCCAATTGATCCTTTCCTGCCTCCCTGGTGCCTCCCTGGTGCCTCCCTGGTGCCCCCCAAGCTGTCCAAATGGTTCTTTCCTGCCTCCCTGGTGCCTCGCAGGCTGTCCAATTGATCCAGTCCTGCCTGCCTGGTGCCTCGCAAGCTGTCCAATGACTCCTTTCCTGCTTCCCTGGTGCCTCTCAGGCTGTCCAAATGGTCCTTTCCTGCCTCCTGTGCTCCGAGTGGCCTTTTAAAGGCCAGTCTGTGCTACGGGCAGCCGGCCGTGGAGCCGACCCCAGGATTTGCCGCGAACCGGGCCGTTCGCCATTGAAATTGTATTAAAACTTAGACAAAATCCGGCGCCCGTCCGAAAGCGGGATTCGATCGGCAATCCTGTGCTACGAGAGGGCCTTTAAAGGCAAGCCTGTGCTACGAGAGGGCCTTTAAAGCCAATCCTGTGCTACGTCCTGGTGCCTCGCAGGCTCCCTGGTCCTTTCCGGTCTCCCTGGTGCCTCCCTGGTGCCTCCAGGCTGTCCAAGTGGTTCTTTCCTGCCTCCCTGGTGCCTCCCTGGTGCCTTTCAGGCTGTCCAAATGGTTCTTTCCTGCCTCCCTGGTGCCTCCCTCCAATGGATCCTTTCCTGCCTCCCTGGTGCCTCACAAGCTGTCCAATGAGTCCTTTCCTGCCTCCCTGGTGCCTCTCAGGCTGTCCAAATGGTCCTTTCCTGTCTCCCTGGTGCCTCCCTGTGACAGGCAATCTCCCCGAGAGGACTCGACGGCTCAGGCTGGAAAAGCTTTGAAAAGGACCATTTGTTGTCTCCAGAAGCCTCTTAGAGAGCTTCCAAGCCCTTAGAGGCACCAAAAGCCTTTCGAAAGGAGACGACCCCCAGAGAGTCAAATGGCCCAGAGAGAGGGGTTATTCTTTATTATACAATAAAGTGTGTGCGCACAGACGTTGCGCTTTTTTTGTGTAGCTCGTGTTACGGTATGGTTGAGACCATACTTGTTGGCGTCAGTTCCAGGCCCAAATAGGATGCTTAACCCTCCTATAGCAGCTTGCATTCCGGTGGCTATAATAAAGAATATCCGCTCGGCCCTTAGGGCCTCGGGAGCTGCCTGGCCACGGCAGCTAGCGCTCGAGGGCTGCCGTATGGCGCCTTCTCGCTTAGTTTAGGGTTTAGGGTTTAGGGTTTAGGGTGTTCACAGTGCCGCGGCGGCGCCTCCCCAAGATATGTCGAGGGGAGGCGCGCCGCTTTCGTATTGGGTTTCCCACCCCTACCGCCCAAACTTGCACCTTTTATGGGTTTAGGTTTTTTTTAAGAAAACCCTGGGGCCTACGGTATTTTCCGGGGTAGCAGGTGGATTAATTTCATGATGGCGTGGTCATATAAAAGCATTGAAATTTGCATGCTTGGGGCCGGAACAAGCATTACCAAAGAATTTCATCGACGTGAGTGCGCGGGCATGGGGTTTAGTCGTGGGCGCGCCTGGCGGTCTCGAACAAAAGGCTGACGAAGGAAACGTTGCAGAGTGGACAGCGGGAGCGGTTAGAGCGTAGTCGTCGTTGGCGGTGGGCGCGTGCTTGGGCTGGAAAAAATATTTCCAAAAAATTCACCGACGTGAGTGCGTTGGCATGGGGTTTAGTTGTGGGCACGCCTGGCGGGTTCGAACAAAAGGCTGACGGGAAATCGTTGCAAAATGGACCGCAGGGAGCGGTTAGAGCGTAGTCTTAGCGGCGGGCACGTATTTGGGCTGAAAACAAAATCGACCAAAGATTTGCGTCGACGCGAGTGCGTGGGCATGGGGTTTAATCGTGGGCGCGCCTGGCGGTTTCGAACAAACGGCCGACGAGGCCTTTCAGAAGAGGAATCTGTGCCACGAGAGCGCGTAGAAGAGGATTCTGTGCTACGAGAACCTTTAGAAGAGAGTTTTGTGCCACGAGTGCCTGTAGAAGAGGAATCTGTGCTGCGACAACCCAGGGCCTCCAAGACGGGAGCGGTCAGAGTGTAGAAGCGGAACTTGTGCTACGAAGGCCTTTAAGAGAAGATTCTGTGCTACAAGCAATCGTCGAAAGGCAATTCTGTGCTACGGGTGCTTTGAGCGGCCTTTTAAAGGCAATTCTGTGCTACGGGAAGCCGGCCGTGGGGCCCACCCCAGGATTTGCCGCGCACCGGGCCGATTGCCATTGAAATTGTATTAAAAGTTATACAAAATCCGGCGCCCTTCCAAAACCGGGATTTGATCGGCAATCCTGTGCGACGAGTCTCCCTAGTGCCTCCCTGGTGATGGTTCTTTCCTGCCTCCCTGGTGCCTCTCTGGTGCCTCGCAGGCTGTCCAATTGATTCTTTCCTGCCTCCCTGGTGCCTCCCAAGCTGTCCAAATGGTTCTTTCCTACCTTCCTGGTGCCTCCCTGGTGCCTCTGCTGGCTGTCCGATGGATCCTTTCCTGCCTCCCTGGTGCCTCGCGAGCTGTGCTACGGGCAGCCAACCGTGGAGCCCACCCCAGGATTTGCCGCGAACCGGGCCGATCGCCATTGAAATTGTATTAAAAGTTATACAAAATCCGGCACCCTTCCAAAACCGGGATTCGATCGGCAATCCTATGCCTCGCTGGCTGTCCGATGGATCCTTTCCTGCCTCCCTGGTGCCTCGCAAGCTGTCCAATGAATCCTTTCCTGCCTCCCTGGTGCCTCTCAGGCTGTCCAAGTGGTCCTTTCCTGCCTCCCCGGCGCCTCCCTGTCAAAGGCAATCCTGTGCTCCCAGCGGCGCCTTAAAGGCCAGTCTGTGCTACGGGCAGCCAACCGTGGAGCCCACCCCAGGACTTGCCGCGAACCGGGCCGATCGCCATTGAAATTGTATTAAAAGTTATACAAAATCCGGCGCCCTTCCAAACCGGGATTCGATCGGCAATCCTGTGCGACGAGGCTCCCTGGTGCCTCTTAGGCGGTGCAAATGGTTCTTTCCTGCCTCCCTGGTGCCTCGCAGGCTGTCCAATTGATTCTTTCCTGCCTCCCTGGTGCCTCCCAGGCTGTCCAAATGGTTCTTTCCTACCTCCCTGGTGCCTCGCTGGCTGTTCGATGGATCCTTTCCTGCCTCTCTAGTGCTTCGCAAGCTGTCCAATGAGTCCTTTCCTGCCTCCCTGGTGCCTCTCATGCTGTCCAAATGGTCCTCTCCTGCCTCCCTGGTGCCTCCTCTGCCTCCCTGGTGCCTCCCAGGTTGTCCAAATGGTTCGTTCCTACCTCCTGGTGCCTCGCTGGCTGTCCGATGGATCCTTTCCTGCCTCCCTGGTGCCTCGCAGGCGCTTTTAAAGGCAATCCTGTGCTACGAGGGCGCTTTTAAAGGCAATCCTGTGCTACGAGCGGGCTCTTAAAGGCAATCCTGCGCTACGAGAAGGCTTTTGAAGGCAATCCTGTGCTACGACAACCCAAGGCCTTCAAGACGGGAGCTTTCAGAGCCAGGGCTTGGGGTTAAGGGTACTTCTTTTACTGTTAGTACCCACTCTGACCGCTCTACTCTGAGTTGTAAAGGGCTCGGGGAGCTGGTGATCGACACCAGCTCCCCTCCGCTTGCTGGCGGCACTGGTTCGACCCGGGGGCGCGCGCCAGGCGCGCGCTTATGGTTTAGGGTTTAGGGTGTTCACGGCTCATGGCGTGCGCCTTTATCGGGGCGGCTATCGATTTTTTTTTAAACGCCGCCCCTCCCCATTGCGCGCGCCATCACGTTGCGGACAAGCCCGCCCCAAGGCCACCCAAACACAACTCTTTTAGGGTTTAGGGTTGCCCTCAGTCGCCGGGCAGGCTCTTGGCCTTTCTTTCTCCCCTCGCGCGTGCCCATCGATCGCATCGCTGCTTTCCCAAGCCCCGTGCCAAGACAGGCAAAGCCGACAAGTGCCAAAAAAAGGGCGAGGCCGCAACGCCGGCGACTGAGCAAGGGGTTGCGGCCGAGCTTCAAGATATTATAGGAAGTTGGTGACGTTATGAATTCTGTTTGAACCCAAGCTGCCGATCCGGGACTATGGCGCGAGTGTCTTTGCTGGCCATCTGCTCATCAGTACTTATAAGGTTTGTCGGCTTTGCGGAACAATTTTTCAACACAGACGCATGACTCGCCGATTCGCCGTCGAAACGCAAGATGCAATGTTTTTTCGTTGCCACGCATGACCCTATGTTCTGTCCGTGGCCTTCGGCCAAGGGCGTCCATTTTTTCAAGACATCCTTCTTGGCCTAGAGCCGTCCGCGCTGCCACGACTGCACAAATGCGACAGAACTACCGCTCACTCCGCTCACTTGGCCGGCAGGAAGTGCTCAGGTTTGATGTAGCCTCCCAAGAGGTAGTCGGTGTCTTTCCTCACCCTGGATAGGGCCACATAAGCGGCAGCCGCACACCCTTCCCGGTCAGGCCAAAACGTCACGTGTGCCAGCTCCGCCCCCTGGAACTTGTGCACGGTGTCTGCGTACCCGGGCTTCATCGGGTAGTAGACCACTCGGCCGCCGGCGGTGTCCTCCGTCACGGGGTATACACAAAGGACCTGCTTCGTCTCAGTCTCCACGACGACGCCCCGGGAAGACCGGTCGAAGGCTTGGACAATGGCAGTCACGCCGTTCACATAGTCCAGCCTCTTGTTCATGTTCCGGGTCAGACGGATCCGCAGGCCTTCATACAGGTCCAGGCTCAAAGGGTCCGGGCTTTGATCTTGCCTCATCTCGTAGGCCACCCCGTTCCAATGGTAGTTGTCCGGGTTGCTTTCATAGTCGGCCCCGACGCTGCCGAACTTGAGGCAACCGGGCAACTCGAAGAGCACCTCCACGGCCAGGGCGTTGACCAGAGCGGCGCCCCATCGAGTGCATGTGATAACCGTGGTCGCCCCATCGGTTTTGCGCAGCAGGTCTTGGATATCCAGGTTTGTGGGCTCATGGTGGCCAGACCAGGCTTTGTGGCCTTTGCACACAGCTCGCACGAAGGCGCTGCCTTCCGCGCCCATGGGCCTGTTCTTGCGGAGGTAAGCAAGTTTCTCGAGCAAAGGGTCCCCGTCGGCTTGGCGCCAAACCTTGTGCAGTTCCACCTTGTAGACGAAGCGCCATTTCGGGTGGTGTACCAGGCTGCGCTTGGTGTTGTCAGGCGGTGGTAGTTGCCACTCATCGCCGACAAGCGCTCAAAATGCTCCTCGAAGAGTTGCACTGCCTCGTCGATAACGATCAGATCATAGCACATCATGATGCCCATTGCCTCTACCAGCGGCTTGTGGAAGAGAAAGGCCCCGTGGCAAGTGTCGAGGTCCACTTCGGGGTGGCGCTGCTTCATTCGAGACCTTTGCACCCCCGTGGGCATGGCCAGCAGGATCCGGGCTTGCAGGCGCTGGGCCCGCTTGACGCAGAGGTCTACCACGGCAGTCTTGCCGGTGCCGGGTTGGCCAGACACGGCGACAATGGAACCGTGCTCGTCTGCAAGGCCAAGCAATCGCTCCATCTCCTGCTCCTCGGCCGCGTCTCGAATGGCCAGGGCTTGGTCAACGCGCTGGTCGATGTTGTCCGCCACCCGCTTCTGCTCCGGGGTGAGTCGCAAGCCGCTGTCCGCTTCCTCGAAGTAAGACGGCATCACACGCACAGCCGGCCGCACCCGCTCCTCGCGTTCTAGGTGCCCGTTCAGATGCAGCTGAATGAAGAAATCCTGGGTCTTGATCATTTGAAGCACCGTGTTGACCAGAGCTTCTTTGTGCGCCCTCAGAGCCATGTGCTCCCGAATGGCTTGCTCGTTCCGCCATACGTGCGGTGCCCAATGCAAAGCGCAAGCCAAGAACTTAACATGTTCGGGCACCTTGTCGACGATGTCTGGCACAAGCAAGCTGCTCAGCGTCTCGAATGGCACGTTCAAAGCCATCCACTGGCCATAGTACCTGAAAAGCGGTCGAGCGTGCGGCCGAGCGAACGAGAGGCGACCGTAAGACGACGACGTCTTTGAACAACCCGTCGCCGTCGAATAACGGTTCGAACCGAGCGGCTTATCGTTGAGCGTGGACACCATCTCTGCAGCTATGACCTTCTCGCCAAAGGTCTCGTAACGAACCGCAAAGCTCTCTAAGCTGAGGCCTCTGGTGTCCTTCTTGTGGGCCTTCCGGATATGCTCCAAAATGTTGCCCTTGTTGTTGACCCTGCGCAAATACTCCAGGAGAGTCATCTCGCCCCGCCAGGTGGCCTGCTCGTAGAGTGCCACGTAAGCCGGGGGCTGCTCCATGCCCGGGTGCGGTGCGATGATCGGCTGCGTAGTCCCACCCATCACGAACATGGGGAAGCTTTGATTGGCCAGCAGTAGCCACATCTCGGGCTCTCCGGGATGAAAGGTGAAAAGGGCACGCCTGGCAGCACCATAGCCGCTGCTACTGTCATCCATGAGCTCCTTGCCAGGACCGTCACTGAACTTGGGCAAGTAGGTGGCGGCATACTTGAGCATGAGGCCGGTGCCGCGCTCGATCTGCGCGTCCTGATGGCATTTCAAGACGTCCAGGACTTCCGGGCTGTATCCTCGCACCCCGAGCCGCTTGTCCTCCTTGGAGTGGTGAAGCTTCACCTTGTCCACAGCCGCGTCGTAGTGAGACATCCCTTCGAAGACGGGCCAGCCGCTGCCTGTCCTGCTCGTCTGACCATCGAGCACCAGGCCTCTCAGCGGGTCGCCTTCTGCAGGCACGGTCGCTTGGAACTTCTCGTGCAACTTCATGTGCTTGATGCTCTCGGCAAAGACCAGTCCATGGAGATGCACCGCGCCTCGACCATGGTAGTCTTGGGTTGCCTCTTTCCGCTTGCCGTCTTGGAACTCCAAACGGCCCACGAAGTTCACCTTGACTCGACTGCCATCCGGCTTCGTGCCACTAAACAGAGCTGCCTTCCACTGCGACGTGGCATCGCCGAATTTGCGGCCGCCACCACAGATCCATTCCCTGAAGAGTTCAGTCAAGAGATGCGCCAAATGTAGAGCTTCGGGCCCTGCCAACCCCAGGCGTTGCCGGCCTAAGTCTCGCATCTGTTGCAGCAAGGCTTCATGGTAGGGAGCTGACCATTCAAACGGGGCCCAAGTGATGAAAGCGACCGGATAACCGCACTGAGCTTGCATGTCCAAGGCAGCCGCATGGCGAACCCGCCAATATTGAGGAGTCCAAGCAGCTCCTTTCATGGCTTGCCACATCGGCATCCCTCGCAGAGCGCCCTTCTTTCCGCCGATGTCGGACCAAGTGGACAGGTCGAAGACGAAGTGCAAGAGGTTGTAGTCACCAGCGTAGTCCGCTATGGGCCCCAAGGCTTTGAGGAGGAAGCTCCGCTTGAGGCTTTGGCGGCCATGGCTCTCTTCGTGGCCCCCCGCCTCGTCATCCATGGGATCATCCTCAGGATCTTCCTGATGGCCGGCCCGCTGCTTGCGACGAACGTCCGCGAGGCGAGTGGCCGTCTCACAGAGCCGGGTATCCCAGTAGAGATGTGGCCACACAGCGGTCTCGATGCCCTCTTCCTCGATGTAGCGAAGGGGCCTCTTCCGGCGCTCATCGGTGGCCCGAGGATTGGCGTTCATGAAGCGCCGGTGCCTTTCGATCCATTTCCAGTAGTTGCAGTTGTCCTTCTCCACAAGGAAATTGAAAGCCTGCAACAGCCGAGGCCGAACACATCAAAGCGAGTTGGTTGCGACCACCGATCCGACAACGAAATAAAGAACTAGGAAACATCGCCCGCGCCTTCTTCGCTCTCTTCCGCTCTCGGCGACTCGGCAGGGCATCGATCTTGTCCTCCACGTCGTCCGCGGCCCACGAAAAGCGGATCATGGTGCTGTGAAAGTAATAGCCAAACTCAGCCTTCCACTCCGGCCCGCTGTCCACGTCCAAGGGCCGTAGCGCTTCAATTTGGGCCCAGGATAAGCCACGAAGCAGAGCTGGCACATCTTCTGGTGAGGGTATCCATGTTTGCTTGCCCTCCTTTTTGGCACAGTTCTTGCAAAGGATGATGTTTCCTTTGGCTGCGTCTCGTGAAGCAGCTTCCTTCAGATGACGTGGTTGCACGGAAGCACATTGGCGGCACAAGTCCCAAGACCCACGCTTGCACCAACTCTCCAAAGCAGCAGCTGCAGGGCTGTTGTTGGCAGCGGGCAAGCCAGCATCGTTGTGCGCGAGATCCCGCACCTGTCCACGAAGCTCCTCGCTCATTGGCGCTCGCCATTGGTGGTTGGCGTGTCGGACCGTCCGTGTCCTGTTTGGAAAGAACTTCTTCTGCGCATAAGCTCTATCCTGCTCTACTCCATCTTGGTATTCACGGAGTTCTTGAGGTGACGGGCCGGCGACAATGGAGCACCGCTTCGCAAGCAACTCCTCCCACGTGGGCTCAGACACTTGGGCGCGCAAGCTTTCCCTTGTTGCGCCATCGATCTCCACCAAAACGCTCTGGTTGAAAGCCGCCTCGAAGATGCTGGGCGCAATCAATCGCCATTGCCTCAAGAGGCGGGCCACGATCTTCCGGCCACGCGCAGTGCCCAAGGCAGTGTCCATGTTGTCCCGATGACAAAAGCTGCAGCGCCCGTCCCGGGTGCCTTTAGCGGTGGCGGCGCGCCCACTGCCATCAGCGGCAAAGCAACATGGCCGCTGGGGGCCCCTGCTGGGGCAAGACACCTGTCTCCGCCGATGGCCGGCGGGCGCGGCCTCCGCAGCAAGAGCTGGCTGCGCGGCAGGCGCTTGGAGCTCTTCGTGTGGCAGCGGCGGCCGCTTCGCCCAAATGCGACGGCGCTTGGGTGGTTCCATGGCCATAGCAACACAACAGAGGGCGAGACGGGCGACGCGAGGCAGGCGATTGCGAATTGAATTGAGCGCTGCAAAGGGCCACGCGCACATGACACATGATGAGCCGGTAACGAGACGGAAACTGCCGCAAGGATGTAGTTCTGAGTGTTTTCGCATTACAGACAAGCCTCGGTTAAATGAGCAATTCGCAGTGAACGGATATGTGACATGTGGAGCGAGTGCGAAAGCACGATCAACGATCGACCAAAGAAATCCAACTTTAGTAAGTTGTCCGTGGCACGTCGGCTAAACCAGCTCTTTTCTTCCGAGGGCCGCCGCTGTGAAAAGGTCGAGGCCCAACCGCCCACCTGGACTGCGCCTGTGCAGGGTTTGCAGCCCAGGCCGCTACGTCTGCATTGCGGCCGCGGCTCACTTCTTCCATTCGGCTTCCACGATGGCAGCCATGTCCTTCAAGGCTTTCAGCAAAGCTTTGAGGTTTTCGGTTCTCGGGTAGCGGGTCTTTTGCATGAAATCGGTCACCGTTTTCTGCAGGCCTTGGTGGTTCAAAATGGTTTCCGGGACTTCTTGCAGAACAGCTTGCAATTGTTGGATGCTCGGGCGGTCTTTGCTGCTGTCGACTTTGCCCTCGAGCTCAGTTAGGAATTCTTTGAGCGCGTCGACTTTCTCCAAAGGCCAGCCGGTCACGTCCAAGCTCGCCGACGCCTTCGCGTCTTCTTGGGAGGACGTTAGATCGATGTCCTTTGAGTCGTCCTCCGCATCCGATGCCAAGGGCCCTGCCTTCTTTGCCGGCTGCTTGCTCGTCAGCTTGCCGCCTTTTCCCTTGGAAGTCTTTTTTGCCCGCTGCGCTTCCCAAGCGTCGTCTTCTGCATCGTCCCCATAGAGCTCGGCACCGCCCTTGCCCCACGCTGCGGCCGCCGTGGGCTCTTCGTCCCAATCGTAGGTTGCAGCAGCACGCTTTTTCACGCCAGCTTCAAGTTTTTGGTGTTGGAAGGCAGCCACCAAAGACCATACCAAGGCTTCCTGCTCCTCGGGCGCGCGCAGCCACGCCTTGCAATCTTCCGGTAAAGCCGCTTGCTGCCCAACTGCATGCACGCCAGCTGCCATGACCTTTGGGTTGGACAGGGCGGTGATCGCTTCAAGGCCTTCAAAAGCAAAGATATATAGCCGCGCCGTGAGGCGCAGCAACTTCCGGAAAGCCGCTTCTTTTTCTGCGTGTTCGTGGGTCAAGAAGCGAACAAAGCGTTTCACGGCCGCGGCCGTAGCTCCCTCGTTGCGTTCCACTTCAGTGTTGGCAGTGTTCAAGTACGTGCAGGCTTCCAAGAATTTCTTGCCATTTGCAGTCTGGAACTGCTCGAGTAATGGCTGAATGCCAACTTTCTTCAAACCGGCGCCGGCGTCCTCGCCGAAGTGGTGCTGCAACGCTCCAGCGCCAACCTCGAAGTTCGCGGCGCCTTCCGAGAGCGCAATGCCCTGCCGCGCGCAATACTCCGAGGAGTCCTCGCTCAGAATGTTGCGTAGGTGGTATGAGGAGAGCAGCTCGGATTCTTGGACGCCATTGGCAGAGAACGGGCTGCCAGCTTGATCCACGTAAGGGCGAAGGTACCACTTGGAAAGCCGATTTTCCCAAGAAACCTTTTTCACATAGTCTTTCTTTTCGCCGAAGGCCTTGCCCTTCGCTTTCCCGCCGCTGCCTTTGCCCTTGCGAGCGCTCCAAGCACCTTTGCCCCAGGACGACATGACAGCAGCTAGCGCGGGATAGGGCCGAAGAGGCAAGATGAAGCACGACAAGGTAAAGCTGTGAGCCAACAAACTTCGAGAAAACCTTTGACCCGCAGGCGAGCTCATTCTTTGAAATTTCAAAACGAACAGCTAGAGGGATGCGCAACTGCGAGACAGGATCTGGCAAGCTAGAGCAACATCAGCAAAGGCGTCTCCACAACAGTCAACTTCTCAAAGCAACATGATCGAAATTTGATATAAATCACAAATCCTTGGCACTAGCTGGTCAGCCGGCCGTGTAAAGATCGATTTTCCGCGTTGCACGCCTTGGATTCACAATGCCACCGGCAACTGCTAACAGAGCCCTGTACCTTAGAGGCAACAAGCCCGTGGACAGAAGCCATCAACAGAAAACAGTGCTTATTACTATAGAAGGTAACCGGGCGTAACTCTTAAACGGCTGGGGAGGTACGCCTTTACAAAGCCCGGGCAGCGCTAAGGTAATTGGACGTCACTCTTCAGCGGCTCACGAAGTGTTCATACGCATCCATTTCAATGCGTCGGGCTTCCCTGCGGTAATCCTGCGTCACTCTTAAACGGCCTGCGAGGTGGCTATACTGAGGGTCCCACCGGCGCGACGGTAATTTCGTGTCACTCTTAAACGGCCTGGGGCTTGTCACTTGTCTGCATCTCGGTTCTCCTTTAGATCTAGCTCCGGTAGAACAGATTGCTTCACACAGGCGTCTGCAAGTCACAGCGTTTCCCGCTCATGCCCTTGCCTTCGCCTTTCTGCTTGAAACTGCCCGGGGACAAAGAGGAAAATGTTGCTCGAGTCTGCCCAGTCACAAGTGGCCCAAACGCAGCCCAAGTCACTTTACTATGTACAGTGGCGTCTCGCCCTATTAGGTTTAAGTTTTCGAGGTCCGTGCCCATGCCAGCCGAAGCTGCACCGGGTTGCCAGTCCGGTGTTGCACTCACGTCCGCCCTCAATAATAATAGAAAGCTACAATTTTAGTTGTCGAAATCGACCGGTTTAGGGGGCCTAAACCCCGTAACGTCGAAGTAGGGAGGCGTCCGTGAAAATTCGAAATCGCATCTTTCAGCCCGATGGTGTAAGGGCTATATTTTCGCTTCGAGAGCAACTTTTTCCCGAAGCGAAAATTCCCAAAAGGTCGCCTCCGGGCAGGTTTTGGGCGGTAACGCCGGGTAACGCTTCAAACGCTGTAGCGTTACCACCGGTGGGCGCGCTACAGCGTTACCACCGGCTAGGGGGGTAAACCTCGCTACCGGGACTGTGGCTTACAGGGTTTACCCCTCCTAAACCTTGTTGTTTTCATTGCTTGCTCTAGGGTTTTGGCCCCCTAAACCGTTGGCACCTTAGACTGAGAGCGGCGCGCCGCAGCGTTACCGCCTGTGAGGGGGGTAAACCTCGCTACGTGGACGGTGGCTTATGAGGCTTACCCCCCCTAAACCTTGTTGCTTTCATTGCTTGCTCCAGGGTTTTGGCCCCCTAAACCGTCAGCGCCTTAGACTGAGAGCGGCGCGCCGCAGCGTTACCACCGGCAATGGGGATAAACCTCAGCATGGCCGCCCGACCGATCGGCGGCCACAAAAATTTATGGAACGGTAAGATGGCGGCGACCGAGCCGTTTAGGCAATTTTGCCATCGAAAATCGCAGAGCGGTGCAATGGCATCGCGAGCATGTGGCCGGCCCTTGCTTAGCAAAGTTCATCGTGAAATGGACACATTCTGCGCAAAATCTGGTGCAGCCCTCTTTGTCCCCTGTGACCTTTAGTGAGGTGCTTGCCGGGTTGAAAAATTTCATGTGGCCGCGGATTTGGCCCTCGCTTAGCAAAGTTTATTGTGAAATGGACACATTTTGGACAAAATCTGGCGCGGCCCTTTTCGTTCCCTGTGACCTTCAATGAGGCGCTTGCCGGGCCCCTGTGACCTTTAGTGAGGTGTTTAGCCATTTGGGCGGCCCGGGAGGCTCTAGAGAGCCATTTGGACAGCCCGGCAAACTCCAGAGAACTCGGTGAGCCCGGAGGCCCCGGATGGACCACGAGAGCTATTTGGGCGGCCCGGGAGGCTCCAGAGAGCCATCTCGAGTGCTTGGGAGGCTCCAAATACCGACGCGGACAGCCCATAAGGCAGCAGAAAAGCCGTTTCGATTGCCTGGGAGGCTCCAG